TCTCTCTCTCCCCTGAGTCTCTGTTTTTTCTCTCTTTCGCTCTCTCTCTCTCTCTCTCTCTCTCTCACCTCTCTCCCTCTTTCTCTCTCTTCGATCCCCCGCACTCTCTGTCTGTCTTCTTCCTACTCTTCCACCCCCTCCCCATGTCTCTTTCGCTTATTAAGCAAGATTCCATCTGAAGCATACTCATGAGATAGCCTGACTGCACACACTTACCCTGACTCTGCCTTCCCTCTCGGAGTCCAGAGAGTCCTCCAACTCTCTCAAACGAGCCTGGAATGGAAAGAGAAACAATACGTTAAATTCAGAACAAACAACTTTATCAACATTTGGACATTTGCAATAGGCATTATGCCGTGTAATGATGTACAGATGACTATGCACTGAGCATTGTAAAATATTCCTAATTACAAGGCGATAAAACAATATTGTGGATACCATCCCCCCTCCCCAAAAAAGGTTTAAAAAAATGAAAATTAACCTTTTCAGATTCACAATTATTTTTTTAGGTTCGCCCCCTCCCCCTAACCTCCCATCTTCAAACCCCCTCCCACTCAAATTAAAAAAAAAGAGTTGCGTCGTTATCTTGACTTATGTAGATTCATGACATCAGAATTACTGCATTAATATAATGAATGTTTCTACTTTAATTAGGGAACAGAAAACGAGAAATATACCACAAATGAACCAGTTAGTTTACGACTTTGTTATGAACAGATGCACAGGCAATAACAAATGGTCGACTAGACCTTTAGACAATAATAGTTTCAGTACTTCTTCAGTTAGAATGCCATGCTTAGAGAGTGAGTAGAACTGCGAAGAGAAGCAAGCAGCGGTAGCTAATGTTTCAGCTATTGAGGTAAATGTTAGGATAATAGAGGTGTCGTATCATTAAGGCAAGTAAGTGGTAATTGTAATAGGAAAAGGTAAATGAAATGGTGTAGGTAATTTAAATGGTTCATGTATTCGCAAGTGTAATGATAAGATTAAATAGCAATTGCAACGATTAGGGTAAATAGTAATGGTATGGGTATTGGTGAACTGTAGCCGCATAGGAAATTAAATGGTGACGGGAAAATGTTTTTTTATAAGGAAAGGGAAGGTAGTTACAGGATTCGTTTTTGTAAGGAAAAGTAGTAGTGTGCCTTGGCACGAGAACAGTAAATTGGTTCCTTGTAACAATTTTTATAACCATTAAAATATTAAATTAGATGGGGCAGCTGTAACGGGTTGTGAGGGTCCGAAGAAGGGATTGAGGGGGTCAAAGGGTAAAGGTGAGGTATTGGAAAAGGGAAGAGCAATAATTCTTGTAATTGGTCACGTAAATTTGTAGTGGAGGGGTCAGGGGCAGATAATTGTGGTCGGGTTGAGTTGGGTTGGGTTGTGAGTTAGGGCCCTTTTTGGGAAGTAATACATCCTCGTTTTGATGAACTGGTGTCAGAGCAGGGATTGGTGGGCATTCACCATTAAAAGTCTTATCGAATGTGGTTTGAGGATAAGGCAAGGCAACTCTTACCTGAGACGGTGATTTTCATGACCTATTACAGTTGGACGAAAGGTTTTTGAGGTTATGTTGGCTGTTTGAAGAGAATCAATTATAATCGGTGGGATGTCGAGTACAGTCGAGGGCAGTCAAGCTGACCAGTTGTCATAAGTGACAGCAGGAAATCAAGTTCGTGTAATGGACGTTCAGGGGAAACTTTGTTATCTAATTTGTCAGATGTTTTCAAATTCTCTTTTAAAAAAATGTAATGTGTCTATGGATTGGATAAAATCCGAACAGACGCAGTAACGCGCAATAAGTGATGAGGAAAAAGAGAACGACAGATAAAAACAGAGGATGAGATTCTGAAGTAGCATTTCTTAATTACCCTGTGCTTTATGAGACAAATGTATCTACGTATCTTTCTGTGGCATTAAACAGATTTCAGAATTGCTCTAGTGCACGGATAAATACAGAGGAGATCTGGTTAAATAAATAGTGGATGGGATCTGGTTTTGGAACGTATATTTTTGCCGTCAAAACAACTCTTGTTGTCTTTCCAGATGGAGATAATACGATAGTTTGAAGCTTGTTTCTATTTTAAGAATGGGTGTGGGCGGGCTAGCACAAATATGTCTCGCTTTGTTCGCCATTAACCCCCCCCCACCCCCCTCTCTGCTCCCTCTTTTTGTGGTCCCAAAAGGTGTAGTGAGTTGGCACAGAGGAAGGGAAACGAGATGTGTGTGTGTGT